TATTGCTAGATGATTATACCTGGAAATTGGCTTCTGGGAGAAAGACTGGGAAAAACTGCTGGAAAAAGTTGCCCCTGCAGTGGTTCCAGGAGAAATAATGCAGAGTTGCCATCCAGTTTGACAGGCTTAAATCAATTTTTTTTTCTGTAGAAAAGATGAAATTGGAGGTGATTGGTATCAATAGGTGAAAGAATCTATTTAGCATTAGAAGATTTGCAATGAGAGTGTGCAAAGATAAAAGAGGAAATGTTTCTGGTTTTGAATATTAGAAAAAAATTGGAGCATGTTCCCTCCTTCTCCCACTCCACTCCCATTTTAATAAAATACCACATACAGATGGCTTGCTATGAGTTTGGTATTTTGAGAATTTCATTTATGGCTGTTTTGGCTCTCTGGTGGGTCTCCTGACTTGAGTTATGTTCTTTTCCTCATTTGCCTCAGAGAGAGAAAAGTCAAGTTTAGAGTCTATAAAGAGAATTGCCACATATCACATAAATGTGACACATATGTATATGGCTATGTGATAAACTGTAAATGATAGTGCACTATAAAACCTCCAGATGTCAGGAGTGATACCAAAGTATGCTTCTGTAATTGCTAAGCAATGGAGAGGGATACACACGATGAGTGTAGATGTGGTTTGAGAAAATTCGGCATTCGTGCAAATAGTATTAGAAGGTAATTTTTAAAAACTACATATTTATATATTCCTTTTGTATTTTCTTTTTGTTTTCTGAAGTGTAGAATCATTTTTCATATCTTTGTAATTGTAACTGGGTGTACACAGTGTTAGGAATCCTCGTTCCCTGTCTTTCTCAGTCTTGGAAGGCAATGCTGACTTAGAGATAAGCATCAAGAGGAATAGGCAGGTGCCTCAGATGATACAATGATTAAACACGGGAAAGGCGGCATGCCAGGTATTTTTACATTGACTAGTATTGCAAGGAAGTATTTTAGGGAAAAGGTGTACAAATCCAGAAAACAAAGCCCCGCGGACTTTTCCAAGTAACTGAAGAGCAGTCTGAGTCTGTGCTTTTGCTTGCACTGTTATAAATGAGTTAGAGCTGGTGATACAGCTTGGTTCTGTTGTCCCCCACAGCTCCAGGCCAGGCCCTTCAGTTACAAGGTGTTTTATAATCCTCCTGGCTATTCACATAATGAATTGCAAGGCCTCTCTGAATTCCCATGTACTTAGATTTAATATTCCCGCCCCTACTTTTCTCCCCACACATTGCAGGCCTTCTAAATAAATACCCACTGCTGGGCGGTGACATTGGTGTGAGTGGAGGCATCCTTCCCAATTAGAAGCCTCTGAGCAGCGGATGTTCAAGAAGCAGCAGAAGAGCATTGTGGCGGCTTCAGTTCTTTTAAGTGGTCCCTGAGTTAGGCTGCAATGTCATGTAGGTAAATGCAGTCCAGAACATGCAGAATCTTTATTGGAATTTGTACATTCATCTCTCACAGCTGTGGAGAGTTTAGACTAATCACAACTCTCCCTGGGATACTATCATCTTGGTAATTTGAAAAAGGATCAGGAGCCTGCAGGCTTGGAACATCTTGAGAAAACGCTGGCTCTGAAATACATCATCACATATGGGGGACACCATTTGCGGCATCATCGCAGAGAGCTTAAGAATGCTGAAATCGAGTCTTTCTCTGGCAGGATTTCAAATGGTTTGAGAAATCTGAGACCTCTCTCTCTCTCTCTTTTTTTTTTTTTTAACTGCAAGACAGATTCTTTCCTCTTCCATCAACCCCGTTGTTGTCAATGTGTCCAATGATAGGTGCCAGAAATGAGCATAGCCTCCTGACGATAACAATGCCCACGTTAAGGCAGCCACCAGGGGCTCTCTCAAGGATCTGTTAGGGTGTATTTTGGTCCACAGACACGTTCTGAAGGCGTGCACCTCCTTAGTCTTTCTGGTCTCAGTGCATTTCTCTTCAGCAGGCGGGATAAAACTTGTCACTTTTTGTCAGAACTTCTCATGCTTTGAGGCCCCTCAGACGCCATTTTTCATTGACCCCTTGTGTCCATATGGTAGGGCTATGTTAAAAGTTGGTAGTTAGGAAGCAGCTTCTGACAGCATGGAGGCCTAGTGAACTATGGCCATTTGTTCAAAAGGCCAGGATTCACAGATGTGCCATAAGAGTATAACATAATTTTTGACCCCGCCCAATGGATATTTTAGCACTATCTACATAGCAACCGGCAAACAGACCAGCCTGAGGAGGCAAGGGCTAATGTCTGTGGCTCAAACCATTCAACCCTCCAAGGAGTCAGTAGTTCGGCCTCTTTCTGAGACTTTAACATGAAAATATGTTTTTCGGTTCTATAGTTCTGCAAGTACAGCTTTCTCTTCCCAGATTGGTTTTATTTTTTACTTTATGATTTTCAATCTTCAGAAAGTTAAACCTGATTCAAGGAGGAAAAAGCATCGGTTGGGGGAAATGTGGGAGGGGAGTGGGAATTTCAGCCAGGCATTATATTAAAGCAAAGTGAGAACCAAATTGCCAGAGGTGATTGGAAATATCTCACAGACTGGAGCTTAGGTTTGGAGACTCGCAGCCGTTCACTTCTCCCAAATGGCATATTGTCTCTTAGGGTGGACTTCAGCTCTTTTAGCAGTCCAGTTTGCTTTATTTCCTCAGTCACTTTCCCACATGTCAACTAATCTGTCTTTTTTTTAGGAGAGGTTTTTTTTTTTTTTTTTTTTTTTTTTTGCTACAGGGCGCGTGTGCTCGCCAGACAGACAGAGACAGAGAGACAGAAAGCGAGAAATCACCCCCAGAGGGGATGGCCACACAACAACCCCTTCTCCCCCACGCCACAATCCCTTCTCCTCCATTCTCCTCTTGGGATCTTGGGCACACAGGCACATGCACCCGGCGTGAGTTTAAGCCACTAGGTCCGGGACTCGAATCGTGGTCGGCTACATGGGAGTCTAGCGACATAGCCATTAC